CAGGATTTGGGTCCTTTCTAGCTACCATGTATTCAAATCGGCGTGGCGGCTCAGGTGTGACCATGTTACGCAGCATTGCTTCTCGAAACCGCATCAGACACTAAAGACCAAAAAGGAGGCAATCGAGAACTACACTAACTCAATTGTCACTACGCAAGCTAACGCATTTTATCTTTCTATTTGTACGGCCGAGCTCATGGAAAACTTGTTTTCAAATACACAGCTTTTCGATTGTTCCTTTTGCTCGAATTGTCTTATGACTTCTATGTGATGGTTACAAATTTAGTAGGCGATGTGAGTGAATATCTAGTAGAAGAAATAGCGCATGGAGTTGTGGAAGTAGATGAGATAGCGGAAGAAACCATAGAGATTGATGTAGCGGAAAAAAGTGAAGAAAATTGAAACTGAGACCGAAAGAAAGGAAATAACTCTCTATACAATCTCTGAGGAAGATGGTGAGTATTTCTAGGTGGCAAGCACCAGCTAAAAATTACAATTGCGGGTCGCCCTAATCAGCGGTGTGCCAAGCTTTTTCAAACAATGTTTCTTGCATGGGACGTCCCTGGTGCCGATGTGCACCAACATAAGCCGCAGTAAGGAGTTCATTTTTCCAAATGCCGAAACAGTCCCACTGGAGATAACACCACAGAAAAGAGGGTCCCCTAAGTTTCGATTCCTCGTGTGCAATTTGTGTGCGTTACAAAAGTTGACCCCAATATCCCAAATTCTGTCGCAAAATGAGTTAGCATGAACCACACATTATTGACCATATTTCACTGAATGAGGAAGTCCAGAAACCCTGCACAAGTGACTTGATTCAAAATCGTGACAAAAGGTGTGAGCACCTTAAACACCTGTGGAATCTAGGCCCCTACCCTTTGATCTGGCGACAAATGAACCAATGGTAACTGAGTATTGCCACATGTGCACATTCTTCCCCATTTTCAGTTCCCATGCAAGAAACCATTTTGAAAACCCACCCTGAACGGCCTCCCTTGTAAGATATTTTGCGCACGAAAAGGAATGTGATGAAGTGGCACTAGTTAGGATTTTAAATATTTCTTGGTCGAAATTTTCATTCTTTACTTGATTTCGTTAGATGTCCAATAGAGAAGGTACCATAGCGATAACTGGTGGAAGGTTTCCAAAGCCCTCATCCCGACTACTATAGAAATCCGTATTTTTTTAGGAAGCAATGAGCGTTTTCTAAAGGGAGCAATCTCTGCGCAGGGTAACATCGTTCTGGGTGCAAGGTTGTGGACAACGATACTCTGCGCAATGCCTGGAGAGCGAGGGCCACTGCTCGCTAGTACTCGCGCGAGTTGTCGCTGCTCGCTAAGAGCCACTTGCAAGAAAACAACACACCTTTTAAACATCAATCGTCAGTATGCCTAGGCTACCGTACGCTTGTCTCGAGTTAGGATCCATACCAAATGCGTGATTCGGACGAAATGTACGAATCACGTATTTGGTGGAGAACGAGGGTATGCACACCTTCGTACGTGCATCCTCATAAGAAGGAGCTTTCCTACATGTCCTTACTGGGGATCATAGCTGGGTTCAGCCTGTCACCTCAGGTGTATGCTTCTGGACTACAGGAGCTAGGTGACGGTATCTTACGGAAGCACCCGAGACGAGAAAAAAGTGTGCGTTTTCCGCGAGAATGTTACGAAGCGCTCCCGCCACGAAGTTATCATACGCGACATGGAAGCTGCTCTATTCATCCTATCCGCTAGGTCTACAGGGTGGCGAAAAATTACGTGCGCCATAAATCCCATCAGAATTTATTTCTTGCCCACAAAAATTCGAAAGTAATTAATTTTATGAAACCCCAATTTGTGACATTTTATAGCTGCAAAGTGGTTTTGATGTAGCTGCCATCAGTTTGATACAGGCCTCAATTGTTTCTTCAGCGAGTCGATGGTGCGGCGGAGGTGTTCATCGCATTTATTCCGAATTTTAGGCAGTTCTTTCAGAATCACCAAACTTTTTGCATTTCGATTCTTTAGTAGTTCTTCAATAAAACCCCAAACAGAGAAGTCTAATGGATCTGAATTCGGACTGTGAGCAGACCATGAATCCATCGCCACAAACAGCCGATACTGGTCTTGAAGAAGTGAATCGTGGCACTGTCACATGGACCGAGCCCATTCCTGTAGTGCGAGATAATTGTAATGATTCTGCTTTCAGGAGTTCTCAATTTTCTGGAGGATTTTTTCTTGATGGATCGTCCTATTGATTCCCACTTTTATCGATAAAAACCTGTGAAGGCTTGCCCGAAGCACTGATCCAGCCTCAAATCATCAAATTTCACGGAATGAAATTCTTACGGGTACTTTCCATTTACGGATGTTACTGAGAGCTGGGATAAAAGATTAAAGTGATTCCGAGAGTTTTAGGGCACTTAAACGGTGAACTTTTATTTGTGAAACCACAGGGCGTCCTAGGATCGCCGCACCTTGAGAAAATCCCGCAACTTCTTATATTTTTCCTTCCGATCTTGCTTTGCTTGGAGGGTGGGAAACTGCCCGTTTGATATATGATAACGTCCATTCCGCACTTTATTTCTTGCTATCACGTGAGCAGATTCTCATAAAGTTTCGTACTATTCGGAACACTTATTCAAGCTCAAGTCAGCTTTTTGGTCAATCTTGATAATTCCCTGCACCCATCAGGTGCTGCTGCTCCGCTTTCATTCTCTTACGGGTCTAGCAAGAATATGCTCTTCCTCTTTTCATTATTTTCCAGGTTTCCGGACGGCTCTTAGAGGGGCTGTAAGCCTCGAAAGAATCGTTGAGCTCTCAGTCCAGCTTTTTGCTTGCCGCGCAATCGCGTTCCAACTTGAGCAGGTCTTTGTCAGAACTTGAAACAAAGGGGTTTCTTCTGACCCAGGAAGAGAAAGACATTTAGAGCAAGGCGCGAAAATTATTCTAAGGTATAAAAAGAAGCGGAATGTTCGCGCAGTAGTTGTTCGCCACCTACTTCAATCTACTACATGTAACTTGCGCGCTTGAACACAAAAATGCTCTGAAGAGATCCTTGTCTTGGGTTTACATACGTTTCGTAATGAATGTCCAAAAATTATTCCGGGAGATTTCACAAAATACATATGGAACTGGCTTATGAGACAACCTAAACGAGTGTTCTAAGTAGGAAATTTCTTCGGCCTCATAAAACCTCTAATGTACTGAAATAAAAACGGATACGTGACATACGAATACAAAAAATATAGAGCAAGACGTACGTAGCATGGGGATCTATAACAACAATAGCAATTAGCGTTGCTTTCTCTTTCAATGCTTCACCAAGATGGCTGATTCCAGTTGGCCGGAGCCTACAAGACGACCATCAGCGAGGCTTCTGCGGGTGAGACGAGAGACGCAACAGGCGAGACGGGACAACGTACGACAACGCTGCGGGCCGGACGACTACTCCGCGCAGCCTCAAGCCTGCACCTTCCGCTGCCTCATTCCCAGGTTCCTGCCCGGCATATTCTCTGAATACGACATGACTGAGATTCTGCTGTATTGCTGAGTCTGTTAGGATAAACGTATTCCTGTAGTCTGGCAATATACGATGAACATTAAGTATAATATAAAATGAAAAGTTGACTGCAAAACTCAACAGCTTTAAATACAGAGTAGCCATAAAATGCGGTAACAAAATGAAGTGAGCATGGAAAATCTTGTACAACTAAAGAAGACAAGTCACTAATTTTGTGAGAAACGGAACAATGAGCAGTGTTGAGGTAGAAGGGGTGCGCTCTCTGATAATTTTTTCGCTTCTTTCAAACTTCTTAGTTGAAAATATTATATATCTGCGTCAAGGACCATCGAGAACGACTTGGATCACTTGAAGAGGCAATTCCTTCTTCAGCATTGCAAGTTGATTCGTTGGCATCTTTGAAAATGTGGCTAGAATACATTATTCCACCGTAAGCGACATGAAAAGGGGCAATCGTCATCGTCCAATTCCGTCTCAGTCCAGGCCATGCATCTGACCTCCACTCAAGCTGCAGGATCGATTGAAAGGTGTTGTATGATGACGACTGTTGGCATAAGCTGTTTGATGTACAGAATTCGCAATACTTATTACCTGAGGAACAGCTCACTTGTTCATAGTTTCGTTTTTGCACAGCGTGCTAAACAACGATGCCGTTCTCAACGCAGTACCCCAGGATATTAATGGCGAAGGGGCGGGCGTTAGACAAAAGTGACTCTGCAGCGCGTGTGCACATGCGGCCCACACAAAGGTAAAGGAATGGAGCGACTGAAGCTTGCAAGGAATGATTTATGTCATGTTTTCTCTTATGACGGGCCTCTTGTCGGGCACGCCGGCGGCCAGACACGTGTGTCGAGGCGAGAGAGCAGACGAGCGAGACGAGAGAACGTGGCAGTGGAGGGAGACGACAGACACCTCGTGATGTGGACGCTACATCGTTGACAAGAGCGGCGGCTGGCAGCTGCCATAGCATGACGCTTACTACCTTTCGTGAACTTTCACGCTCTCGCGCAAAGGCTTTCATGGGCAGCTCTACATACACGACAGCATTTATTCACAAGAAATCCACTACAAAATAACAGAAACATAACGACCACTACTAAATCTAGCCAGAACCCGTTGTTACAACATTAACACAAGCTCACAATATACACCAAAAACAGCAGTACTTACACACTACTTCACATTTTAAGAAACTTTTCATTCATATGTTGAAAGTGAGAAGGCGGCGTACAATGCACATAATTGACTTTAAAAGAACCAGTACGACAATTGGATTGTCATGGACTAGAAATAACTATGGTACAACAATCGCTAAGCTTACCTAGTAATAATTGATATATCGGCCAAAAATAAAGCATACAAAGAAAATGTGAAATGTTAAATCTTCTACCCAACAGGAGAAAGGAATTCCTCCATCACGACATAACCAACTGGTATACAATTTTAGAATATCCCGAAGCTCTTTAGGAGCTTGAGACTTACAAATAGATTACCATTTAGTGTTCCGTATCTACATTCAATGGGGCCATAGATAATCGATCGATCGAGCCCACCACAGCAGCAACATCGTGTTCGTGGTTCGCCAGTTCTTCCGGTATCGAGTATAAAGGACTGCTGACAAGGCTTCGCGAGGTCGACATACGACGTCCTGCAATCGTCGGTGCCGAACTTACAGCACGCAGACGGCCGGCGGCACTACCAGGGGCCGGGCGTGGACGACGTCCCGACAGGATCGGCTGGTCCTGACTTGATGGCTGGAATTCAGAACGTATTTCTACAAAAAGAACAGTTCGTAATGAATAGTGCCAGCAACAGGAAAAACGGGCGGATTTGGGTGAGAAAGTGGACGAGTCGACGAAAATTTCTATAGCGCGCTGCAACCTGGTGAAGCAACCAACTCCTGTGTGTGATGGAAGAAATCAGCGCGTACACATGGACTTTCTCGCAGAGATAGCCCCATGGAGGCGTGTTACGGTACGTCGAAAGTGCAACACTTGAGTCAGGCACGGAAATGGAGCTGTAAATGGCGCAACGTAACCTTCCGCTTCACACACCCCAACTCCGCCGCATACTCTGACCGAGAAGAAAAAGGAAGCTCCACTTTCCGACTGCATGAAAGGCCGGATTGAGTTTTTATTTCTCCCTAAACAAAAAAACCTTAACTACCACATACCTGTGTTAATGGTCGATAACGACGGCGCCAATTACGCACAACGACCACATCAGCAATTGACGATATCGATGAAGCGCGTGACGAGTATAACGACTGAAAAAGCTATATTGAAGGAATTCAGGAGAGGAGAGAGGGGGAGAAATATTAAATATATGAAGTGACAAGTAAAGAAAAATGCTCAGAGGGAATCGTCTTCCAGGAATCATACCTCTGTCAAATCATCATCATAGCTGTTCGACTTTGGAGCAGAACGAAAAACGTAAAGAATCGCCCAAACAGGCATAAGAAATGATATAATATCGTATGGGAATTTCAGTAAGGAATAGCGTAGTTGATCGTGATCCTAAAAAGAGTAAATGATGAACTTCCTTGGAGGCTAGGAAAACTAAATCAACTTACAAATATGCCACTGCATCCTTTTTTATCGTCTGCCAAGATGAACAAACTGACATGATAGCCAAGATCGACCAATGCCGACGTTTCAAACGCCCAAAAAAGGCTGAAAGTGCAGAGTTTTGACAAAGTAGCGATTGTGCGGATGATCAGACTAGTTCAAAATCTAATATTGCAGACATTCTTCTTCTTACACATTACATACTAAATACCGCACTTTAGACTGTGACCGAATTGACTACGTCAGAGAATTTAGAAAATGCAAGGAAGGCGCGGTCATAGCAATTTTGAAAGCCCTCAAAAACTATTTTGGATAACTTTGGGCGCCTACAAAAATTATTTCTATCGCGTTGAAAACAGGATCTTCGAGAAAATGTTTTGCCTGGAATCCTTCTTATATAATAAATACGCAATAACACAAACCTCCCATTCCACTTGGCCTCGTACCAGAAATTGACAAGAAAAAAGTTCAGAAATTATACACATTATAAAATTGAAGAAAAACCTAAATGAAGCCAAGACGATTCTCAGAAAGTCTAATCATGCTTATCAAACTGTACTCAACGAACCTGAAAAGATCACGACGTTGATTTGCTCTTATGTTGGGCGCAGCAGAAATTCTGTTCATCCGCCGTAATATGAGGAAGAATGAGCCGACCATAAGTTGCACCATCATAAATTCTCCAGCGGAGAACCAAATCCAATAGGGTGCTGCAATTTTCACATGTAAACTGCACTCCACGAATGAGCCACGCATTCGACTTCTAAGATTCATTTGAATGAAAACATGGTCTATACAATGTACTACGGGACCAGCCTTTGTATAAGTTAGCCTTTTCACCCATAAAAGAGCTATCTCCAATCAGAATCCATCCTGATAGATCTCTTTGATATTCGAGTACTGCTTAAATGGAACTAGCGATGGCCATCAAAAGCTCGCAATATATATTCTCAATCGTTAAATTTACACCATACATGGACAGCACACCCGTAATTCCATCATCTTACAAAATGAGTTGAGATTTTTTTTATTCATGTTCTTCAACGTCTATCACGAAAATGACGGAATTCACTTTTCTGCTTTTTTAACGCCTAGCTGACGACATTTGATCAGTTCACACAAATTTGAGCCCTCTTGCACGCAACCAAGATGTTAGGCATCTTCGGGTATACCATAAACTTGGCATTACGTGTACTATTTGAGTGATAGGCATCACTCAGCCCCATAAAACGCTCTACGCAAGTGCGGCTTCGACGATACTCGTCGGTGCCTCGCGATTCCTGCCCTCAAACCTCTGGCACATATCTGTACGAAACCGATGGTATGACCGCGCGTGCGTCACCCCCCACTGCTTCATCTGCCCCAAATGGACGGGAGGGTGACTGCATGGTATCAGGCGCGATCTACCTGATCTCATGTAGAAGCTGCGGGGAGGAATACATCGGGGAAACGAGGACGGCTTTTATGCTCCAGATCAAGGAGCATCTGGATGGCATGAAAAGATCAAGACCTGAGACCCCTAGTGCCTCATGCGCAGTGCCATGGAGAACCGACGAAGTATTGAGATCGCTCGTGAAGGTATTTTGAATGACCGAACCACAGACCCACCAGAAGCAAAGACTGTTAAAGCTTTTGGATCGGCGTTAAAAGTCCTAAAATGAACAGGAAAGATGAATGCCTGACAATAACAAATGAACTCGCGCCGTTCCTTGACCTGTGCGGGCTTCGACCGCCAACGGCTTTATGTCGGGGGTCAGGTCACCTGAGGCCACCCACTGCCAGTCAGAATAGCGGTGGTCCCAACCAGTACTCTGTCGTGTCAATTAGAGGTGAGTCTAACGAGTGCTTGTGTCTTGCCCCTCCTATCTAGATGCCTTTAGTCTAGAACGAATTGCTCTGAAGTTTGAAATTGCGTTTGGAGGTTAGATCGCATTTATCTTTGACTTGCTTTTCAGGCTCTGACGAAGGCGACACGGCCGAAACTTAGCCAATAAAGTGATTATACTACCTTGGTTACGGCTCTACAAAAGCAATGCACCAAGCATTTTCCTTCGAGTCTCTAAGTCCACTTTCTGGCACATTAAAGTCAGAACCGATCTTGTGGACACTACCACCATTCGCAAAAAAGAATAATGATAAAGTTGACCGATTATGAAGCGCTAACGTACATGTAGACCGCTAAAAGTTCGCAAGTACAAGCTTGTTCACCCTTTTGAACTACAGAAGTCCTTGAACTGCATCATATAAAGCCGTTAATTACCTACTTTCCGCAGGTTATCGACTTCTCTGTCGCATATTTACATAAGAAAAGCTCCGTCTCCTAGTATCTGCGCGTATAGAGGATGTTTCCACGACAGATCGACGCTTAATAGCCTTCATTGTATAGAAACTCAGATGGATACTCTTCATACATTAGCTACTTTTCCTGTTTGAAAAAGGAAACAAGCCGCCTGGCCACGAACAAAACTCCGCCGTTGCCTACGTGCGTTTGTTGCGATCATACTCACAATACACAATAATAGACATAACTTACACTGACACAAAAGTGACACACAATCAAAACAACCTCCTAACGTCAAGGTGTTCAAGATCAGGGTGGCATATCATCACTCTTGAAAAACGAGAGCACCACAGAACAACGCAATGGTCGCTCCTTTTGTAAACATGAAACCTACCATGGCAATCTCTCCACGGTTCTATAGATAACAGAAAACCGGCGACCAGGGAACAATGCAAATAGGTAAACATCAAGAATAATGAGGAAAAGCATAACCTGAATATGACATTCTGGAATCCTCATGAAAGCATCTTTACAAAAAGAAAATAGAATAAAAAGGTGGCGACACGAAAAATTTTACATTGAAGAAGGAAAAATCTCCCTTCTGAAAACGGAAAGCTAGCCGTGAGAGAAGGGGTATGTGGCTTCCTTAGGACAAATAGACGAGCCTGCAGTCAGCCACCCTACCAAGTTTCGCCTTGCTCAAGAAACATTTTTATGCTTGTCCGCCCCCGCCTGCCCCTCCCTCCCACCGATTGCCAGCCCACAGCAATAGGCCGCTCGCCGTCGGAATCTCTAGCTCTTTCAGAAAAAAGACGGAGCAATGCGTTACATTGATGATGGCGGCTATCGTAAAATCTCGTCCGGAAGTCAACGAGAAAAAGCCTTGACGCGTCTTTCAACTTTTTCTTCCCAATTGCACCTTTTCAACGCCGACGGGCGACCAATTAATCGTACCAACTGCCTTTAAATGACTCAAGAAACAGATAAAATGCTAAACTAACCGCTTTCCTGCCACAGAACTCCAATGCATCATCTTTGAAGCAACGTCCAAATAAAAGTAGCAAATAATTAAAAGCTCGATAGCTTTAGCGTAGCTGATAAAAAGTGACAACTGGGTTGTCCACCCAAACAACCATTCAAATGAACTAAAACATGAAAGATTCACTCAATAATGACGACTTCAAGACAAAATCTAAATTTATGAGTGTTCTTCCTGGAGGGGGAGACATTTCGGAGCACTACTCCATGCCAAACACATTTAATTCCAATTTTTAAAGGATTAAGATGGGCGAGCCAATTACGAATATACAGAAAGGGAACGAGGTAAGTATAACTTTTTCTAAGCCGTTATAATGAAACAAAAGGCTTCGCATGGTTTCAAGAGTTTTCTACTCCATAAATCCCAAGTCTCCCTACTGTAAGAGCGCCGATTCACACTTACCCAGCAATGCAATGCACACATAAAATGTAGAACAAAAGGAGTCGAAGATGCGACGGGGTGGTCGCGTGAAGATGAACAATACGAGTGAAAGCCATCACAGCAGTTATTATTCCGGCTAATGCAATCAGACCAGAGCGTAGACATGCTGTAACAGTCAAAGATTGAAGTCTAAAATGAGCGTAAACTTGTAACTGTAAACATTTCCTGGGAAGGTGACAGGCATGTATGGAATGACGAATGAGGAAGTGGTAGATCTTAAACAACTGGGGTTTGAATGAAACAATTGCCAGCATCATTTCCGCACGGAAAGGAGTGGCTGTCAATAGGTGGTGTGGTATACGTTCTTTTAAACAAAATTGGGGGTGGTAAACCACATGATCTAACTGGTGGCATGTTTTCATGGAACTAGTTGGCTGAGTTGAAGTTTCTTTGAAAATCGCTGAACAGACAAAGACATATCATGTATGGCAGCCGAAAAAGGGTAAAAGTGGCGTGGCAATCACATCCTACGACGTATAACTAAGAAAAACCAAGAAATGACATATTGGCTCACGTGGGCAATTACTCATGTGATCTCACAAAGGAGCGCAAAACCGTCGAGTGGAGCTGAATTTGCCATGAAGTTCTTACGACAACTACGGTAAGTTGAAAATCGCAGAGCGTAACAAAACCCAAAAGCAGCAGGTAGTGAACCGCTCCTCCAACATCCTCATAGCCCCTGAAGTTAGGAAACCAGCCCTTTTGGCGTTTCTGCTGGGGGGAAGGGGTATGCTGAATGTTGGGGAGGGATGGGGTCCCCGGGACGGTCGACGGAATACTTCAACTCGGTCTTTAGAACTGCCTCAATTTGATGCTTTACCTCGGGACCAAGTCCTTGAAGAGAGGACGGACCTGCGAGAAAGCGTAGGTCCGCCCCTCTTCAAGGCTTATGGTTAGTCCTTTTGCAACCAGCCCTTTTGGCGGAGCTGCTGGACCAGCTGCACCACCACTTGCGTCATTACTCTCCTACCGTACCGACCGGTTGTGAAGTAGTCGTCGACCGGTTTGGGGGGCAAACATCCCCTCAGGGCGCGTGCGGTTGCTATCCTCATAGCCCCTAGTTCCTCAGAAACGAATGAATGGGATTGAGGTATCTAACATCTGACCACACCATTATAACTTCCTATCCCTTGGCCTCACTTCTTGTAACACGACTAATCATTTAAACCTTACATGTGTATATGAGGAATGAAAAGCGATGAAGAGAGAAGAGATAAAAAAAAGGCAGAATTCGTGAAATCGTGCGGTAGAAAGTTCTCTTATTCATTTATCGTAATCTAGGTGTTTGCTGCCCAAAAAAATTGTATGCACCTTCATGCCACTTCTATCGAACAACAAATTCACGACCTCTTGAAACCCGCAAAGGGTGCCACCCTCAACGTTTTCACTCAAAGCATATCCATTTCTCCAGAACGCCGCATTCGCTCCATAGAAAAAATGACGCACATAATTTTCAGGGTTTCCTTACTGAGGGTTATGCTTTTTCAAAAAGAAACTAAAAAAAAAAACCACTCCGGTAACCTCACCAATGGCGGTCACTGTGGGACTGAGACGCAATTCGAAACACAGAACACGATAGATCTGTCGTCCCGGGCACTGTGAATTGTTATTCACCACTTCTGTACCCACGCCTCCACCACGACTCCTCCAGTTCCATTCTGATTGGAACACAACAAATAGGGAATGAAGACTCGAACTGCTGCTGCGATTGACAATCTTAAAAACACAGTGCATGACAGATTCACTTGAACAAAATTTGGCGACGAGAGTGTAAGATTAAAACGTAGACAGAGAAATGTCATTAACATCAACATCGTCATTTCGATGACATCGGCCCGCTCACTCTCTCTTTCAAGTTTATAAAATTCCTTTAGAAAGGTCTGGAAAACACGAAAATATCAAAACGAGCGACTTCTCCGAAAAAACATGATAACACTGCTCACTGATGCCATCGCTGACATGATTACAGTGAGCTAATCGTACGTCTGCACTAGGTAACTGAAAATGTCCACTCATCAGTGACCACAAAATAAACTATTACTCATCGCTGCAGAATGTATAGCAGAACAGAAAAACCACGAGTTCCGGAATGATTAATTGAAGAAACTTGCTTTTGCAGTCTATTGAGTAGTCAAGGGAAAAAGCGTCAACTTGCTAAACTTACTACACTCAGTTCTGAAACTTGCTCTCCTTCATCTCCTTCAATTCACCCAGGGTGGTGGGGGGGGGGGGGGTGATCGGAAAACAATAAGCCTAGGGAGGGCTAGTTATCACAACTAATGTATTCTTTCAATCACCATTTCGAAGCCGTGTACGTCTATCAACTGGTTTTTTTTCTCCATTTTTCCATCCCTCTATGGACTTTTCGTGATGTACAGCACTGAACAAGTGGATAAAAAAGCAAATAAGACTTTGTAGTCAGGATATGATTCACGAATCTCGGCATTCCTTTCATTGAAATGAAAGGTCCATAGAATTATACCGAACAAACCATTGACGAACGTAGAGATGGCATTCAAGCGGCACCACATGATTCATCGACTTACACGATCGCCCTTCACCGCCTATCCCACAAACCCGTTCATATGATGCAATACACGGCTTCCCCCCCCTACGAAAAACGAATAAAAACACTTAAAAAAACTAACTAGCACCCTTCACTATGCTTCTAATGATGCGCATTACTTAAAGTCACCGAACCTTGGGAAATGATGAGACTCAAGCAGGAATCACAACAAAACCGCTCTCAAAATACCGGAACCGCATGAGAATAGAAACTGGTTCCAAGTGGGTTTTCACTGGAACCTTTCATATCCTTATTTTTCTAAATTCATTTTCCATTTCACTACGCTCAAGTTGTCAGAGTTCGAACCGAGTTTCACCATCTTATAGGAAATAGAATGTGCGGTTGCACTAGATAAGACAGCAATAAAACCTAAATTGAATCGCTTAAGTGGAACGTGTTTGCATCGGAGACTTCAACAAATTCAATTTTACACTGGTCGAGGTGGAGTTCACCTAAAGTTCTGAGGCTCGAAAATTAACAAGTAGCGGTGATGAGCAGTCTAAGTTCAACCTCATCCTGTAGGATCACGAAGCACTTATCAGACAGACGCCAGAATTTAGACTGATCACCAGCGCTACTTATTAGTTTTTCAACCTCGAGAATGAGGCCCGTCAAGAGCTTCAAATGCTTTGTTCGTCCACTGCTTCATCTCTTTCACCACTCCACTATGAAAGCCCGTAGAAGCTTTTCTGAATACTCTCAGCCTTCACTGAAAAGGGTTAAAACCTGGACGCCTCATTAGTAACTTGAGGGTTCTGAATAGCAGCCAGTCCAATTAACAATCTATTACTAAAATACCGATTCAAAATTTCAAGGCGCACACCACTCACACCACACACCAGTAGCAATGTGGAACTGCCAAACATAAAAGCCCAAAATGAAAACTATTCCTGGACTTGATTGAAAAGAACATTCGACCAGTCACAGAATGCTCCCAACCCCAGAAAAACGCGGGACAGTAGGACACACACACAAACACTCAAATAAGCCGTGCATCTCGACAAACGTTATATTAGACGATCGGAAAGCACAGAATATCGACACACACCCAAATTTCATACACACCGACTCCTTCCCCACGAAAATTCATCGAAAGTATAGCTTAGTGTGAAAGACCATTGAATATGTCCTAAGCCGAACGCCACCCAAAGCGATGAACTTGACAAATCCGTAGCCCATTCAATATTATCGAAAAAATGTAAACCCACAGAAGGGATTTACAACTCAACGTTGCTCACATTATAGAGAGACCACTGGCCACTAAACGCGCGCATAGCAGAACAATAGCCCAGTGACGTACAGGGCCTGATGGTGACGCCTTTGAGTCACATAGGCCGCTGATGGAGGACGTCATCCGTTTACATAAAGGGCAAAGTGAAAATCAACCGATTTTCCCAGCGGACTTGGAAAGAAAAAGGGAATAATCCTCAGGGGAGGCTGACTGTAAATATCCATGTGCACATTTGGCACATATTGCAGCTTGCTGAAACTACTAGAGAAGAAACGTACACCAAAGCCAACAAAATTAGGCATGCAGCTAAAATCTACCAAAGTGATTAACATCCCACCAAAACGAATAAACTGGAGGGATGTCAGCAAGCGAAACGCTTTACCTATGAAAATAGACGTTTCCCTGTAGAAAAAGATCAGCGTTGCGATGGATGCTTCACGAAGATGCAATGCCAAAAGGAAATCCGTCCCCTAATGGGAAGCGATGAAGAGTGTGGCAAACCCGAGGTAGCGGGGTGTGGGTAAGCCCATTTATCCCTTTTCCGAAACTGGAAAGTCCAAGGTCATAGGCGATGCACCCGTTCTTTGTAGAAAAAGCCAGAAGCTGCCTTTCTATTTTCATCGGACTGCAATGTTCCTCAGAATCAGTTTGAACTGTAAGTTTGATAACCGCACTATTGAAGATAATAAGAAAATAAATGGCAATGGAATGTTCAGTACGCAGTCACAGTTGCAAGTGGAACTGATAATCAGTGACAGCAAGGCTCAGAAAAATTCAACACCGAAGAAGGAACCATACCATTATGAAAGAACGTAGACATGGAATACATGGTCATGGTTCTGGTAGCAGCTAATGGAAAAGACAGCAGAAATTGGATGCACCGAGTGGACAGCAAAATACCATCCTTCATGTGCGCGTTTAAAGGCACAACCCAGGCAGAGGTCGTGTGAACGCTTCTTTCGGTCTGTAGTATAGACCCCTAGAGGACAATCACAAATGTGGCGTTCCCGTGCACGGAAACCAACCGACAAGAGCGCTTGGGCCTTGCAAAGTAAGCTGCTGAAGCTGCAGATTTTTTCTCTTATCAGGCTGTTGTCTGGCGCTCTCTCATCTGTAGCGCTCTCTCGCCTCATACTCTCCTCTCCGCGCTTAGTCTCTCATTCCCTTAGCACAGCCGATTAGGAAGGTGAGTGAGCCCTTAAGCGTTTTCGACGGATTCTTTTCCTTTTTTCTTTACTGCCGGCCCATTTCGCACCAATACATTCGCATTCGTGTGCAAGAGCCACACCAATGTGATCCTGGGGCATGCCTTTAAAGCAACCTTAACATGAGCTGTTTCATCTGACGAACTGTATAAAAACCGGGAATCCGATATGAGTCGCATTCAAATTGCAAGGATGGTGAAAGTCGATCTCTCCATCTTAGGAGTTGAAATTGAATCTTAGACGAGTTTTTCGAATCATGCCATGAAAGCAGCATGGAAAGAAGACGAACTGTTAGCGTTGAGTTTTCTGCACATCCCTCGAATTGAATGGCGTTCAGAATTCGTAAATACCTACATCGGTGTCAGTACCTATAAAATACTACTCAAATGCTCGCTACGAACATAGAACATTCAACAGCTCTCGAGTTTGGTTTCAGCAACAAATACATTGACTAGTATAGCAAAAGAAAGGCCTCGTATGGCGAAATTTGCGAGTGGTCAGTATTTCGAATAGACCATACCAGCAGACCCAAACACAATCGTTCAAAATAGCAAGGCAACAAAAAGGTAGAGCTCATGACTTTAATCAGCCCCCTTCAAGATGGGCCATGCCTTCTACTTCCGTAAAACTCGGGACGCATTCGATTACGCATAAGAAACATAGTGGTTTGCGGGGCTTACAATATACGCGTCAGTGTTTCTATACTTACGGAACGAGATGATGGGCACAGTAAGAATCTCGGCAGATGATGATGCTCGATATGGGAATTTGAGCGATGAACCTCATTAAGGAAGAACCACGGTCGATGAGTAAGCAGTGCCAACTTGACGCATATACGCCTGTACAGTGATACGTTGGAAATCGTACGAAAGGTTCAAAACAAAAAAAGAAGTGACAATGTTGAAAGGTTTGATAACTAAAGAGCACGATCTACCATTAGGAACAGAGATGATGGAACTTCCAGTTTGCAAATTTACGAAGAAGATATGCAGTGGATTACAGTTCTACATGTATCAAAAACGTATTGGTGAGCAGCCAACGTGGTTTTCCTTGGCCGTAGCAGCCATATATACGATAAGAACATTTTGCAGAATCTCCGGTGAGGCGAACATTGGACAGCGAACACACCACCCCACCATGAACTGACGCAATTTCTCCGAAATTTCCACTGATAAGGATTAGAAGATCAGGATTAGGAAATTCACGTCTTGTAATAAACAGATTCTCGAAAACAAATCAATAGGCTACCTCTTTACTGATATGGAGCGATTTACGGCTTTTTTTGAGACTTTTTCAAAGAATTGATCAATACATGCGTCATATCACTTCACGCTTTCCCTACATTAAACCAATGGCAACCGCGCCAGATGGGTGATTCACTAGCCGACACGTGAGTTTTCACGAGACTACCAGGGGCACACAATGAGGTGAAATCAGAGACAAAAAGTAAACCATAGACTAATTAGACTGCAGTCAATGGTGAGATGAGGAGGACAAGACGAGGTCACCACTATGATTGGGTTTTAAACTGGCAGTTCAAGTGTGCAAACGTCAAAACTCCAGCTATGACGATTTCTCGACACGTCACTAACATATTCCACCTGTAAGCCACAATCCTTTAATACTCTCGGCCATATATTTTGACCATGAACTATGGTCACCGTTTTCACTCGTCATTCAGATCTCCCCTTTACACCACAAGGAGCTACCTGCA